ACAGCAGCAGCAACAGCAGCAGCAGGGGAAGGAGGAGGGCATGCTGGGTACTAGACGGCGGTGAGTGGCAGGTGTGCCAGGCAGGGCTCCTCTTACTTGGATGGTGTTAGACAAAGGTGTAGTGGAGTCCGTTGCTTAAGGGGGGATAAGGTGACACCGTCCTGGAGGACAGGGGGGCTTTAGGCAGGAGGAGCGCCAGCCGCTGCGCTAGACGGAGCACACAGGAATTAAGCAGTGTGTTAGACTCATTGGTTCCCCCAGCACCCAGTGCCCCACTTGCCAGGTGGGGGTGTGAATCCTGCTGCTCCCCAAAATGACCTGGACCTTGCCTCCACTTGCTGATCTATCCGAGATGAAGAAGGGAGCAAGAGCGAGCAAAGGTTAGGGAGTGGGAGAGGCTCGCAGCCGACCCAGGGGGTTAGGGCTGTGGTGCTCCATGCTGGTGGCGAGGAGGCGAGGCTGGCAGATCTGGGGTTAGAGCAAGCAGGGCGGGGTGGGGAGCACCAAGGGGAGGGGCTCGAAGGTACTGAGATGAACCCTAGCGCCACTAGGAGGGGGACTATGGATGGCTGTGTCTTGGGTCCCTGGACACACTGCCCCCCCACCCCCGCTCAGGGAATCCACACTGCGTGAAAGGACTGAGGACCTCAGGGATTTCAGGGACTCGATGTGGGGTCAGGGTATGAACAGGCTCCTGTGGAGACTCTGGCCCTCCCCTTGTCACCACTCAACCCTGGCTTCCTTACACAGAGGGGACACCAGATTCCCCTCCTGTCCACTTCTAGACCCTTTGGCCAGGGTTGGAGGACACCACTGCAGGCTCCATGGCCATCTCCATCCCACAAAGAGAACCCCAGGCCACCCAGACACAGTGGCCTCTGCCGTTGGGGTGAAACACCACCAGCCATACTGCAGGGCACCCACAGAGGATAGGCCTGGGTGCAGGGAGGAGTTAGAGTCCCTCTCCTGGCTGAGGAAGAGCAAGCAGCCTTTATAACATACATGTACACATACAGGCACACACAGACATGGACACGTACTTGTGCTCCTACCCCATGGTGATATTTTTTCAGACTGTCCAGCAAAGCCCCACTTCCCAATCCCACTTTCTGGCACAGGGCACTCTGATGAGGTGAACAGGAGCTTTGGTTTGGGGACCCAAGCAGGGGCCCCAAGAAGGGCCCCATTCTGCTTTGCTCAGCAAAGAATCCAAGCACCCAAGGCTCTTCTGCCCCATTCTTCATGAGAAAAGAAACTAGCTCACTGGCTCAAGGAGTGTGAAAACCTGAAGTCGAAGAACACCACCACTCCCTCCAGGACAGACGTTCTCATCAGAACTCAACTGCCAACCGCCACTGATTCTCTGGCCCTGGGACAGGGCAGACTGGGCCCCAGGGAGCACTGGGTAACCCTGGGCCTCAGAGCTGGTGCCCATGGCCTTACCTGCCACCTGCTTGCTGCGCTGGGAGGCTTCAGAGGCCAGGGCATAGGAAATGTTGATGATGCGCTCCTGCTCCTGCAGCTGTGAGTCCAAGTCGGCCAGGCTGTTGCGGTCCTGGGCTGCTGAGGGCTGGAGGTTGCACATGCTGCAGGGGTGCAGAGAGCAGCCGTGGGCACTCGCTGCCCTGGGCATTGGCCAGGGTGGAGGTTTTCCTGGCCTGGCGGCTCTCAATACTTTGGTGGACTGTGGGCTTTCTCCTGAGACACACGTACGCATCTCCCCAAATACCCCAATGGTCAGGGGCTCTGCTCCCCTTACAGGAGGGCCACAGGCCTTGAGTTAAGAGCTGTAGATCGAGGTGCCTGTTGAATTCAAACACAAAATGGCAACCTAGCTCTGAATGGGAGGCCCACAAACAAATTTTTTAAGCCATGGAGACTACTGGAACAGAAAAGCCTTTCTTAGGGTCCCAGCCCAGTGTCAAGGGAAGTAAGTGGCAAAGCCTCTGGGCTCTCAGGACATGGCCAGAGCCCTGGGCTCTCAGCTGCAGGTCTAAGGGAGGGAACACAGGCCCAAGTGCTGGCACGACAGTGGCTGGAGCTGATCGCTGACTGGGTCCCTTCACTGCCACACTTGTTCCACTTTCCATACTTGCTGGGTTCACTCAGTACAGACTGTGGGGCAAGGGGCCCTCTGTAAGTATCTCTCACTGATATGAGTACTACCTGCCCCCTCCAATGAGTGGGGCTCTCCTGAGACTAAGACAGAGGCTGGCAAAACATGTGCCCAGCCATTCCCACCCAGGTCCCAGTATGGCTGAGACACCACTAGGGGTAGGGGGGTGGGATGTCACACCCAACAAGCAAGGGCTAACCTTGACCGGGTGAGGATGCCGCGGATCTTCTCGGCTTTGCGGTAACGTGCCTGCAGCTCTTCCAGGCTGGGTGGCTCTTCGGGATCCAGCTCCACATAGCGCTCAGGGATGGAGACCTTCTCTGGTTTGGACAGCTAGGAGAGGACCAGGAGTGGAGGGGGAGGCTCAGATGTTCTGGTCTGGGACCTGCTCCCCCTCCACTCCCACCACGAGGAAGAGAACAGAACCCACAGAGGTGAAGTCACTTGCTAAGATCACAAAACCAGCTGGAGAACTGGGATTTCACCCAAGGTCCAAGACTAAAGCCTATGTTAGCCCTGCTGCACCAGGTACATCTTTTACCTGACAAGCGATGGGAAGAACAAGGCCAAACAACTGAACTGAAAGCTTTCAGAAAACAAACGATAACCCTCAGGGCGGCCTCATCCGGTGCCGCTCCCAGAGGGGCCTGGCTGCTCCCTTCTTCAGTGACTCTCCTTTTGACCCTGGCTTGAGCAGACTTCCCAGATCCCACCTCCTACTCACTCACGTTCTGATCATCTCGTCTCCTACTGACTTAAACAGGGACCCGGCCCATAGGAGCCTTTCAGCAAATCCTTCTCCAACGGACGGATGGACAAAAGGAGATGATTCTGCTTTCGGCCCTAGAAAAGCTCCTCTGATCTAGACAGCAAGCAGCTACACTCTATCTTCTGCTTTCCAGGGCAACCCCAGGAATCACTCGACCCATGGCAAACTCAGCTTGTTAAAATCTTGCTCAAGGCTAAGCGCACTTTTGTAGACCCACATTATAACAGGGTTGGCTAAAGCTTCTAAGAACAAATTAAATACAGTTCCAGGGCAAATCTGGTCTTGCATTTGTTAAGGGAAAAAAAAAATCAAAAGGGAATAGCATTGCTTCAGGGCACTTAAAATAAGGAGAGCAACTGCTAATCAGCTCTCCTACATCTGCAACTGGTCCTTTACCTGGACTTCAGATGTGCCCACCAGGATGCAAGCTAACCTTTAAACATGGTTAATCTCTGCTGATCTCTGTACAAAAATCTCCTAAACTGCCCTGAGACTCAGACCATACCCAATTCCTTTTCTTCACAGACAGCTTTTGTCAGAATTAAATCATAATCCCCAACTTGTGGTTAAAGCTACTGATAGAGTGACCATTTTGTAAAACCTTGGAGCACACTTTTAAGACTGTTTGGATCTATTTTCTTGGACTGCTATCCTAACTGGCCCCAAGGAGTTTTCTTTGTTCTCAGCTAGGTTGATTTTACTCTTGGGTTGACAGATTAAACCCACACAAGCTTTTACACTTTGCTGAAAGATGGTAAGAAACAAGCACTTCTCTGTTATTCCCAACGAGGGCAGATCTGGAGGAAGGAAGTAGATTACATTGTAGCAGGAAGGATTTGGGTTACAGATAAGGGAGAACTTTTTCCCTGGGCGGATGGGCAGAGCACACTGCCAACGTAGCCACGGAGGCTTCTTTGTGAATCTGAAAAAGCCCAGATCTTTGGCTGTTTCAGGTGCCAAAGAGAACAGGTCTTGGGGCAGGGCCTTCTTAGGTCTCAAAGCCCCCAGCTGACCCCAGAACCCAACAAGTGCAAAGTATGTCTGCTTCCTCACAGAGCTCCTCAGTTATCAAGGTCCCCCATAACCCTAAATCCATCCTCCACGTGGTGAGAATTCTCATCTGGCAGTTTTGGGGCAGGCCAAGTCCTTGGACAAATGTTTCTGGGACAGGTATAGGCCACTGTGTGATTCATTCAATGAAGTCTTCCTTCAGCAAATATTCACAGAACATCCATTGTGTGTCGAGTCCAGTGTCAGGGACACAAAGACAAAGCAGCCATAAACACTGCCATACAGAGCATACAAAGGACACAACACAGGCCACAGTGGACCACAGGCACAGATGAGCCTCTTTCCTGAGTTCCCTCTTTTGGGAAGCTGGTTACTTGCTATCAGGGTCCTGCCCTGTTATGATGCAGATTTGCCACCAGAGGGCGCGAGAGCAAAGCCCAGAACTGTGCACTGTCTCCTTGAGTTTGTTGATCAAGGCTGGAAATTCAAACTCTGATTTTCAAACTGGCCCAATGTTTCTTCTCAGGCCTGAAAGCACAAGTCAGCCTGACTGGCTAGTTGCAAGGTCAACCCCTGGAGCTCCCAGGAGCATTTGCTAACAACAGCAACTTCTGAATTAACATCCCTAGTATGTGCCAGGCTTTCCCTTCACTGCCAAACCTGGCGACATGTTGAGTCACTTAACCGTCACCACTCCCTGTCCACTGCTGAGGGAACGAGGTAAAGAGAAGTAACAACTATAATTCGTCCCAAATTACGGGGATAGATTTGAACTCTCATCTAAGCACTTGAATCCAAGCTGCTATTCATCCAGTCTCGGGTCACAGTGAAGCTGAGCCTCGGGCCCCTTGGAAATATTCCACATGGGCAGGTTGATCAGTCTGGGACCCGAAGGCCATGCCTCCTGGGGACATCTGACGGAAGCCCCTGCCCTCACCTCTCTGCTGATGTCCAGGTCATAGTCTTGCGGCTCCAGGTCCAACTGTGTGACAGGCATGGCCTGCACTTTCAACCAGCCATTCTCTTCCTTGTCCTTCCTTTCCCCTTGCACGGCCCGTTCCAGCAACTGCAGGTCAAAGTCCTGCTCTCGCTTCCACTGGCAACAGAACAAGAGGGTTAATTGCAGTCACTTCCTGACTGCTGAGCTACGCTGATCCCCTTCTGGATGGGCCAAATGGGAATGGGGTCCTTTGGAAGGCGAGTGTGACCCAGTAGGGGAAAGGTGGGCGATGTAACTTGGATGAATAGGACCTCCGCCCCTGCACATTGCTGGCCCCAGACTTTCAGTTTCTCTCTGACCTGGGACCAACCTTAGGTCACACGTGACTAGGCTCACAAGGACCCTTAGGGATGCAGAGTGCTCAAAAGTCTGAGAGGGTGACTTCAAAACAGAACCAGGCACAGGGCTGCAGGGAATGGATTTGCCCTTTCTGCCAAGCCATAGCTCACAGAAGGCTTCCCAGCTCAGGAACCATACACCCCAGGTGCAGAAATAGGGGAGAAGATGAGCCCTTCATGGCTGAGCAAGTGGAATAACCATGGGCTTCTCTGTTGGGGGTCCCTATAGGTCCCATTCAGCACAGGGATACTGCACCCACATGGCCGGGGAGGTCCAGATAGGAGCAGTTTGGAGCCAGTGAGGCAGACAAACTGTTAAAACAGTATCTATGTGGGATAGACATTTTAAACCAAGGGAAAAAACTGTGCAAAACTGAAATGCTAAATCACATAGTTCCAAAGAAGTTTCACAGTATCAAATTTGTAACAAGCATCTCTTTACATGAAGGAAAATCTAACCCACTCATTTTAAGATCCGAGCATGACAGTGACGGCTTCCTGTTAACCCAGGGCCTGTATCTTGACAGGCCTTTGATTGCCGTGTAGACTGGTAAGCACAGAACAGGTTCAGAGACTCTCTCTCGAGTGGGAAGAAAGCATACCCATCCCAGACCTCCCCCCACCAGACTCTCCACAGCCCCAAGCAGTCGCAACTGTTATTGCCCTTGAGTCCCTCCCAAACCCAGCCCCATAGCCACATCAGCGTATTTCACCCATTCACGCACAAGCTCTCAATGTAGACTCTAAATCAATGTAATTGCTCTTAGTTAGTGGTTTTCCAATTACAGTTTGAAAAGATTAGGCAACTGAAGATCAGGGATAAATTAATTTAATGATTCACAAAGAAAAATCACATTTTCGTACATGCTCACAAGTGCTCCAAATAGAGACCAGTCCTCGTTGAAACCCAGCCTGATTGTTTCCAGACAGAAAAAGTTCACTAGACTCTAAAGTATCCTAGGGAAGAACCACTCCAATCCACTGTTAGTAAGCATCACATTTATTGGCGCTGATGCAGAGACTAACAAAAGTCTTTTAGGAGAGAAATTACAAGGTATTCAAGTTTCGATTTTTAGATAATCTCTACATTTGCGACATCAGGTTGTCAAATGCCAGTGCTACTCCATATGATGTTTGCTTATAAAGTTTAAAAGTCCCCGGGTTTGTAGCTTTTAAAGAAATGACTGTCCTGTGTCATACCTTTTGGGTCTAAGCTAACAGCTGTAGAAAGGTGCCATGAATACAAAGTTAATTTTGCTATGCATTCAAGTTATTAAATACCAGAAACAGAGAAAGAGGTTTCCAATAAGAGATTCAGTGATGGGACTGGAGGAATCCAAACAACCTCAGCTGTGGTGAAACTTGTTCAAATGTGCCATCTCTGGAGTCTGTGTTACCAACCACGCATCAGACATGGGTTTGGCTAATTGCATAAAGCCCAGACCTCTGCCAGTGACTGTGGTCCTCAGGCAGGGGGCTGGCTCAGGCCGTGGGACAGCTCTGGGGGCAAGTGAGTGGTGAGTCAGCAGTCCTGCACCAAGGAGGCCAGTGGAAAGGTGAGTCACATCTGGGGGTGGCTTGCTAGGCTAGGGAGACAAGAGCTGCTATTACAAGCCTCATAACAAGCAGTACAGACAAGTTAGACAATGTTCGATGCAAACCGAAAGCTTCTGTAAACACAATCAGGCGGGATTAGAGAGGCAACGAGCAGTAATTCTAAAAGCAAAAGAGCTTGTGCAATGAATTAGGGGAAGAACAGTCAGGCTAGAGGTCTAGGGAAATGAGGGATTTCAAATGGAAAAGTCAAGTGTAATGTTTCTAAGTTGGATCTAAAGTGGCTCTGTGCAGGTGCAGCACCAGGGAGCACCACGAGGGGGCAGCACCGGTTCCCCGGCTCTCCTGGGCACCAGGGGCACTGAGAGCCCACCAGCTAGCTCTAGGGTTGCGGGGAACCAACTCTTCTTGGTTGCCTCTCCTTCCAAGGACCATCTTAGAAGTCTGGGAAGCTGGTTGGTTGAATGGTTTGTGCTTCTCATAAATCACATCACCATCTTCCTCCACTACTCCTTGAACCCTACGTTCCCAAGTCCTTCAGTTCAGTTGTGGTGCCTGCAAACGCCCCTCCCAGGCACAGGCGGGAGAACAAGCTGCATATTGTCTCAAGCTCCCATGCCTCTGCTGCGAGATTCTCCTGCCTCTGTTCCACTTCTGGGTCTCACACTGACCAGCTGACACACGCCGCCTGGATCAGGACAAATACTCCCCATGGGATGTTCTCTCAGGCAGCTGGGTCAATGAACCACCTACTCAGGGTGATGTGGTTGGGTTCAGGGGGCCCAGGTTAGCTCCGCTCAGCTCAAGGAGCAGCTCTGCTCCCTGCCCCAGCCCGCTTAACATACTGAGCCGAGGTCCCCAGGGAGCAGCTGGCCAAGGTAGCGTGCCGAGGCTGGGCCTGTCCTCTCTCCTTGGCTCAGCGTCTTCTTGCGCTCACGGACCAGGGCCTTCTGGTGCCGTTTCATGCGCTCCAGCTGCTCCTCGGCACTCATCTTGCCCCGCTGGTGGTCCCCTGAGTACAGGCGCTCCAAGGCACTCTTGGGTCTCTGAAGAGGAAGAGGAGGCAAGACACAGAGAGGCTGGGCTGGGAGCATGGGGGACAGCTGCCACAGAGGCCACTCTGCAGGCACAGACACGGAGGCCCAGGTCTGTCCAGGTGGCAGCTCACAGCAGACCACAATGAGCCCAGGGTACAAGACTTCTCGGGCACCCTCCCCTGACCCTGCAGTTTACATGTGGGCCATGGGAAGTGGGGAGGGCAGAGTAATGGAACCCTGAGCTCATGAGAGGCTGAGGTCACCTCAGAGGCTATCCTCGGTGTCACAGAATCACTAGTTATTGTCCAGCTCTGAGACGCCCTCCCACACTGGAGGGAAGCAGGGAGCTCCCCCATAGCTCAAGGCCACTCACAGGGAAGGTCATCTTGCTGCTCTCCCCATTTAGACCCCTCCGGAGTGTGACGTAGGGAGCAATGGTGGACGACTGCTGGAGCCTGGACGTGGAGCCCGAGAGCCCTTCATGAAGAAAGCGGAGTCAGGTGCACTGTGATGGGGTGGTCAGTCCCAGGCCACTCCCTGATCACCCCCACTCCCTGGAGGGGCCAAGAAGGCCCAGTCAACAATCCACTCATCTTTCTCTTCACAGCCTGGAAGAAGGAGGCCCCAGGTGGGGGATGGGGGCAGCCCAGGGGTGCCCTCCATCCCCAGGGGGAGATGGTGTCTCCGGAGATCAGTGAACTGCCCTAGACTTCCCTTCCATGCAGAAGTTCTGGGCTGCAGGACAGGTGGAAAGGCTGGAGGGGTGAGGGTACCCTCATCCTTCTGTTCCTGACACTCTTACATATCCTACACAACCCAATTTGGGGTAAGGAAGGGAAGCAAGAGGGTCCCCTACTGAGGAGAGAGCGTGTTTAGGAAAGAATTCACTAGTTTTAGGATGACACGGGAAAAGCTCTCTGGAAGGCCAAAGATGGCATTGTTGGTGGCAGTCACCCAGCACTCTTGCCTGAAGGCTGCAGTGGTCTGGAGACAGTGCCCCAGGACAGTCTTCTGATTTCTTCATTAATCAGCGATCGGCAAGGAATGTAATTTCTCTAAGCCTTATTAGCTCATCTCAAAAATGGGAATAACATACTTCCCTCACAGCACTGTTGTGAATATGGGAAAAATGAAGTGCTTTTCTAGTGATTGCTATCATCACAGCTTCTAGGGACACATGGAAAAAGAGGACAGTCAGGACACAGACTGGAGGACAGGTCAGCAGCCCAGGCCACAGCTACAGGCAGAGGGTTAGGGCCTGGGCTGAGGGTTGGGGGCAGCGAGGCGGATGTGGTACGGTTCCCTAGACTCCACAGGTCTTGCCTTACCTCTGCCTGGAAGAGTCTGGTACCTGCTCTCAGGACCCACGAGTCCCAGGGAGGGCTGAGCCACGTCCCCAGTGATGGTGGCCAGCTCGGGCTCACTAACGTACGACCGGAGCTCCACCTATGGGCACAGTTTGAGGCTGTCACACCCGCCCAGCACTTCTTCCCTCTCCGCATGCACAGGGGCAGCCTCAGGGGTCCTCCCGGCTCACCCTTGAGTCCCCGTTCACACACTGCCCCAGCTCTCGGTCTCGCTTCCTCTCATCCGACTGCCGCTTGAGGCCCCGCACGGAAGTGTGCCGGATGATGGTGGCCTCCCTTGGCAGAGGGGGCACAGCAGGTGGCTGGTCCTCTGGGCTGTAGAGCTCAGGAAGCGGGGGCCTGGGAGGTGCCTCATCTTCCTGCACAGAAAGAAAACCAGAGCCAGTACTCAGCAGGTCAGAGCCAGAGGGAAGTACCAAATGGTACCGCCACAGCAGTAGCCCAACAGGCAGAACTGGCCACTTCTGAGCCACAGAACACGAGCACTTCAGCCCTGGCAAGTGAACATTTCCTCTGGAGGAGTTAGAAGGAGGGAAGATGCCTGTACATTAACTCTTCTGCTCTTTGACTCCTATACATTTTCCCCAAATGCTTCCCATATATATTACGTCCCCAGATCCAGGACACAGGCCTCCTGAGTCCATGATCTTCTGTTTTTTTTTAAATCTCCTGTGTCCCCAGACCCTGCCAAGAGCTGTTCTCTCCCTATGGCAGGCAAGCCAAGGCCTTGCCCAGCCCTCCCATGGGCCACAGACCTACCTAAGGACATGGGCTGGAGGGTCAGTTAGACAAAAGGTAACAATAAAAGAGAAGAGTCAGGAGATGTGGTTGGGAATCACTAACATGGAGACCTTCAGCAGCTTTCAACATCTTGGGGCTTTAGTTTTCTTCTCCATGGGGTGGAGAGTCTGCTGCCTTCCTGTCCATGATGCCATGAGGTTATAGGACATTCACAAGCATCCGCACAGCCCAGCACAGCGCTCAGATTCTTCTGGAAGGAGCTCCCTTCCCTGCATGGAGCCCTACGTGAAGACAGCCACCTATCTCCACAAATTCACCCCTATTCAGAACAGTCACCACTTGCTTGCCCTCAGCTGTCCCAGCTGTAAACAGGAGGATGGGGGGAGACCGTCTCCCACAGCTCTGCCAATCCCCAGACTCTCTCAGCTGCTTCCACCTCTATTTTCCCAGGAGCCACACTCCTAAGGCCGCTGATCTGAGGACAGAGAGCGAACAAAGGCTCTCAGCACCTCATCACCACAGCTTACCATTTTGGGCTTTGTCTTAGTTGGTGACTGAAGTGGGGACGTCACTTTCCTCAGCTGGGGTGGGTGAGCTCGGTAGGGCACATAGGTCTGCAGCTGTGGGAACAGCCGAACTTCCAAAGGAGTCCGCACTGGGCTGGCAGGAGGGCTGGGCTGTGGGGGCGACTTGCTCTCCAAGGTCAAGGGTGAAGGCACGGGCGGGTGAGGGAACAAAGGCACCGTTTTTCTCTCTGAGGGGCACAGAGGGATACAATGAAGATCCTCTTCCTTGGAGGGCAAGTCAGCACCACAGAGACTCAGGTCCACACAGCAAGGACGACGTCCCTCACCAGGATTTTTGACTGATTCCACCAGGATTCTGTAGTTCTCTTTATTTGTACTTAGACCTGCAAGGACATCTTCAATCCTCCACAGGTCCTTCTGTATCTGCGATTTCTCCTAGAAAAGATAGGGGGATGGTTTGGTCTCTTGTTCACTCCTTATTAAAATTTCCTTCCCAGGGATTAATCTGCCATTTCAGACAGTTTCTCGCAGCACCCTGGAAACTGCACCAGGCTGGAGCCAAGCTATTCACAGCATCCCAGGAAAGGGCAGACATGAAAAATGCTGAAGACCTAGGGAGTTCACAGTAGCTTTTACTACTTCAGTTTGTCTATTTCTACTTAATGTAAAACTTTAAGTACTTTAGGGTTCCATTTACTCTATGAAGTATTCAGGGTCAATTTCATAGAGACAGGAAGTGGAACAGAAATTTTCAGGAGGGAGAGAGTAAAGGATGGGAGGATGTTTAAAAATTTTACAAGATGAAAATTTGTGAGACTGGGTACAGAAAATGTGGATGTACTTCACACTGCTGAATTTCACTCTTAAAATAAGTAAAATAGTAAATGATGGTATATTATGTATAGTTTACCACACTTTAAAAAAATGCACTGTCTTATACAATCACTGCAGAAGGGGAAGGAAGGCAAGGACTAGAGGACAAGGCAAGGACATCATCTCTGGAATATAAATATTTCTTAGAAGTCAAAATAGAATCCTGGGACTTGAAGTTCAGTTAAAAGTATAACGGACAGTGGAGTATTATTTGACAACATGGATGACTCTGAAAACTTGCCAAGTGAAATAAGACAGACACAAAATGCCACATCTTGTATAATTCCTTCTACATAAAATGTCCAGAAGAAGCAAATCTTTTGCAACCAAAAGAGGACTGGAGGGAAAAAGGGAGTTAGTTCAGAAGGGATAAAGTGGGTATAAGACTTCTCTTGAGGGGTGAAGATGTTATAAAACTGATTGTGGTAACAGCTACACAATCATGTGAATATACTAAAGTATACTGAGTTGTACACAGTACTTTAAAAGGATGAATTTGTGATATGTGAATTATATGATAAAGCTGTTTTTTAAAAAATTTCAACAGAAAAAAGAGCTACATTATATGCTCACATGCAGTTCCAATTAAAATTGGGGGGAAGGAGGCCCTAGAAGAGGTGAAGAGAGGCCTAATGTGGTGAAGGGATTGTGGCTATCTTCTAATGGTTTAAAAAAAACACAAAACAACTACAACCAAAAAATCATCAAATGTAGTAGTTTTTTTTTCATGGAGCTGGGGATCAAACCTGGAGACCTTGCTCATGCTTGACAATAAGCACTGTACCATGGAGCCACATCTCTAACCCAGAGCAAATCATCTTTTAACTTGAAATTATAATGGAGAGGAGACAGACTTGGCCGCACCCCACAGAGTGAAAGAAAAGTTTTTCTCCTCTCCAGGAGACCAGCTGCCTCTTAACTGGAAGAGTTTTCACACTGCACGATCCCTATGGATGCACCTGATTTTGCATTCCTGACTATCTGCTTCTGGGTGCGTCCCCACAAGGGCAGGTACTCAGTGGGTTTCCAGGGCTGGTGAGTCAGATGAACAAAGGACCAATCTTGTACTATCCAGCATCCAGAGCAGCAGATGTTGGAAGACTCCACACCAAGGGGGGGCATGTGCTCCTACTCTCTGCATCCCAAAAGCAAAGACACTCTCAGAGCTGATAAGCAAAGCATGGGCATGAAACTCAGCTCCACACTCAAGAGAGACAGGCGCACTGCTGACCCCAGAGTGCATAAGGTAACAGGGAATGCTCTGCCAAGTGTGGAAGCGAGTGAAGGCTGAGAATAAGGGCCTCCTCCCCCTCTTCCATAGCTCCCCAGCAAAGCTCCTATCAGCCCATTCTACTGCCCCCACTCTGCCTTTCTGACACTCTCACATGTAAAAGAAGAACAGAGTGCAGCAAAGGCTAGAGTGTCTTTATCTTTCTCCAAAACTGATGCAATTCCACAACTTGATGAAGAGGAGGGCCTTGGGGCAGCAAGGAGGTGGTATTTCGCTCCTGTATTCTCGCACCAGTTGGGCTGGAAGGTTCCCACCTAATGCCTTCAGCAAAGGCTGGGACTGTCTACAAGTTGGGAGCCCCTACAGGCAGCCACGTCTATCACCTCACTCACACTGCTTCCAGATATTCCATGCCCTAGATTCCCTGATGCCCAAGTATCTGTGACAGTCTTCCAAAATAATGGTATTCCACGTTAGTCAAAAAGCTATGGATTTTCTCACAGCCAGATAAATCTGGCTAAAGTGAGGCGAGTTTCCCAATGTACTAAGAATTTCCACTTGGGCTGCAGGCATACCTATAGTGCTAATGATCTCACGAGAGCACTGACAACCTGCCCGGCCTAGGGTTACAACAAAGAAGTTAACACAGAACCTGGTCAAAGCAGGGCTTTATGACTTCCTCAGTCATTGAGGCACTAAGGGAAAACATGAGCAACATGATGAGGTTAGACAGAAACCAAGCCATAGGCACCAGGCTCCAGGCTAAACTATCTGCTAGAAACTTACACAGATAAATCCTCCAGGGAATCTGTGACAAGATCTGTTACCCGGTTGTGAATTGTGTTTTGGGGGAGGCAAAAGATTCTTGGCTTACTATATATTGAATCTCTATGAAAGAAAGCATAAAAGTAACACAAATGGCAAGTAATCACATGAAAAGTTGTTTACCCTACCAGTGATTAAACAGATTGAAACAAGGTATCGTTTATTTTTTAGCCAAAAAAAAAAAAAAAAAAAAAAA